TCACCCTCACTGCTCTTCCCAGCCCTGCATCAAGTGCATGTCCCTCCAGAATCCAGCTCTCTACCCTCCCAGGTGGGTCCAGCTGAGGAGCAGTTACCTGCTCAGCATTCCTCTGGGACTGGAGGTGGGAGTGCAGGCGCCGGATCAGGGGCACCCCATTCCTCGCCTGCCTCTTCAGCAGCCAGTAGTTGTGGAGCCTCTGCATGAACTGGTTCTTCCTCTGGAAGGAGAGGCCACTGCAGATTTTGTTCAGCCTGAAGGAAGCAAAGAGGTGTCACAGAGCCAACTGCAAAGCAATCGTGTCCCTGGTGATACCACCAGCTCTCCTGACAAAGCTTTGTGGTGGTGTGTCAACGCACCCGCTGAATTACACGTGCAACTGTTACAAGCTGGAATCTCCCCACCAGGAAGACATAGGTGCCTACTTTTCACAGTATTTCCCTATTATTAGTGGCAGCTCAGCTGCAGGTTCTCCCCCAGCACTCACCACAGCACAATCCAAGTGTGCAACCACCAATTCAGCTCCAAGCCTTCATTTCAAAACCACTTTCAGTGTCGACCACTTTTCCTGGGGGTCATTTAAGTCTGATGTTATTAAGCTGGAACATGGGAAACTAACTTGACAGGAGTCCAAGAATAATATATCACCTATTTTAACCTTCTCAAACCATTCATTAGATAATAGGTGGTGCCTTATCAGCAGTTTTCTGAAGCTTATCTGTTAAAATACCATCGACACTTCCTAAGGCTCCAGAGGAAAGCTCAGCACTACCTAGTTCTGCAGGAGAGGAAACTGGGAGAAAAAAATCCCCAGCCAAATTCAAAGCTGCTTGCAACACTGACAGGTCTGACATGCTCTGTAATAAAAGGAGGAATTAAGAAACTATGAAATGAGGAGATTAAAAGAAAATGTAACAGCATGTTGACCCCTATCTGCCTGCCAACCTGTAATGCCTGAAGTATTTAAAAACCCCCTTTTAAAATCCCTTCACTGTGAATTCAGCTGCTGGAGGGGTGTTTGCTGTTAGGGACCACCCTGGATCCTGTGTCACACAACAGTCTGGGCTGGCAGAGCAGGGAAAGCACAGTGTGCCAGAGTGTGGAAGAAGGCTGGTCAGGAGGGATTCTGCAGAGCACTCTTTGAACAGGGAGATTGCTGGGTCATGACTCAAGATTCAGGGTTTCCAACATCAACAATGAGAGGGATCAAGTCCTCAAAACAGACCCTGTCCCCTGCACCACTCACCTGTAAGAGGGGATTTGTGCCACTGCCACCATGGGCGCCGACAAACGCCCGTTGGTCACATCACCAGGCTCCTTTTTGATCTTCTGCTTTAATTTCACTCGGTTCTTTTTCAGAGACCCTTTGGGAGGGCCAGAACTGGCTTCCTCCTCACCCTCCTCCTTCACAGGGTGCTCCTGCCCCTCACCAGTAGTGGCCAGAGACCCTTTTTTCACCGTCCCAGGTGGGGAATGACTCCCGCAATAGGCAGTCTTGCGCACGGTGAACGTCGTGCCATTGATGCTGGTCTCCCTCATGGGTTCAATCTTCATGAAGAGACCAGCCCGCTGGGCGCAGGTGACGTGGAAGGCAGTGTAACAGTTCACCTTGTGGCACTGGATGGCAGCTCCCATGCCCTTCTGCTTGCAGATATAGCACGTGAGCTTCCACCGAGCCGGCGGGATGTTGCTGATCCCTTCAATGGGCTCCAGGAACACAGTGTTGGCAAAGCAGACCTCTGGGATCCAGATGGCACAAACCACGTGAGCCCAGCGGCCGTCGCTGGTCTGCTTGAAGGCTCCCCCTTTGTTTGGGCAAAGGACACAATCCACGGGGCGAGAGGGGGACTGCAAGCAGCAGCGGCAAAGCCACTGCCCCTCGGGGATGTAGGGCACGCCGTAGCACTCCTGGTGCACGGCCAGGTTGCAGATATCACAGAAGAGGATGACGTTGCTGTTGTGGCACTCGTCGTCCATGCAGACGCAGCAGAAGGCATCCTCATCGATGAGGGACTGCTGAGCCCCGTTGTTCCTGCTCTCCAGGTACGACTCCTTTTCCAGCCTATCCACCAGCAGCTCGAAAGTGTCCGCGGAAACCGCCCCGTAACCATCGTCCCTCCGCTTCTCGTTGACCATCTCCAGCCAGGCCAGATCCTCCTCGTCCATGTCATACTCCACCTCCACATCAAGGTCCTCGGGAGGCTTCTCAATGTACCGGTAGTAGGCAGCGGGGAGGGGAGCAGCATCTGGCTGGCTGAAGGAGTCCAGCACGCGGAAGTTGGGCTGGGGGAGGTGTAAAGACGTCCCCGGCGCGTGCTTGGAGCAGGACTCCTTCTTCTTGCCTTTGGAAGGCGTTTTCTTCGATTTGGAAGGGAAAAGGGGCTGCTCGCTGTTCTCCTTGTTGCTGTTGCACTCTGTGATGTCCTGGGCAGTCAGCTCGTCCTCGGTGATGATTTTCAGGGGGTCGTAGATGCCGATGCGGTGCAGCCGCCCGTCGATGTCCACCTCCACCATGCGCTGGGCCTGCGCGTACGTCAGCGTCTCCCGCGCCGGCGAGCACTTGAGGCTGTAGGGCGAGGGGGAACGTCTGCCCTCCAGGTTCTGCCGGGGCCTCCTCCGAGGCTTCCTCATCGCTGCGGCCCCGAGAGCCTGTAACGAAAGGGGACAGAGAGAGTGTAAGCCCAGGGGCCGAGCGAGGAGCAGCACACGCTCAGGAACTCGCCGGGAAACAGCCCCCGAAATTCAAACGGTGCTTATCACGGCTGCTCACCCCTCCCACGCCAAGTTCACACAAACCAAGGGGCTCTCCTCTGCTCTTTTGCCTGGGGCTTTTCTTCTGGATCCCCAAGAGCGTGTAAAACGTGCTGGATGTTTCCCAGGTGGAGAGGAAAGCAGTGTTCCTGTCCTAGGAAAGCAGTTCCCCATTTTGTCACTGAACTCCATACGAGCTCCTCCAAGTTTCCCACTTCAGGGCTGCCAACACCACTTCTTCCTTTCCCACACTGCAGATGCAGAAAATCCCTTGATGAAAAATCATCCTCCAGCTTTGCTTTCCCTTCTCTCACAGGTTTTACACCCCTCTCCAGACAGTGTGCACCGAATGCTCCGTGTCCTTCCCGACATGCAGAATGGGTCACAAAAGCCCAAACAGAACCAGAGGAACGCAGTGGGTGCTAGATGTTCATCCCCCCTCCTCCTTGGTGGGATCCATGAGGAAGCCAAGGGGAACGAGCATGGGAACAAGCAGCATGGATCCAGATGGACTTACTAGCTCCAGATCCACGTCAGCCCCTCTGGAGCCACAATCCATGTTCGGGCACCTGAGCTGGTTCTGCACGGAGAGCCCACAGGGATATGAGCAGGAAAGGAGCAGGACCCAGACCTAGCAGCTCCTAGACCACAGCAGTATCTGCTCAGAACCTTAACAAAAAGCCCAAGCCAGCTCTGCCCTCCCAAACTGCTAATCAGCAACCCAGATAATTATTTAAGAGTCGACTCCTGACGTTACGGAGGTGGCCATGGAGGGGGAGTGGAGCAGAAGCCTGGAGCCGGGGAGATGAGCTGGGGGAGGATGGAGACGTGGCAGCAGGAGCCCGGAGATCTCAGGGTGAAGGAGAGAGGCAGCAAAGAGGGAAAGCAGAGAGGAAGCCAAGTGAGTAACGCCAGCGAGAAGGGCAGTGTCAGGGATGGGAACATGAGTTATGGGAAGAAATAGGCTGAGGCTACAACAAGACAGAGAGGAGACAAAGAAAAGCAAATGTAAAATCTCCCCGGGAAGATAAGGCAGCCCAGAGCTTATCTGTTGCTACAGAGAGGCCCAAACCAGCACCTCACCCTTATTTAGAGCAATCCACACTTCCAGCTCCTTTCTGTGGGACCCGCAGACAAGAAAGCACACAGCAAACCATCATTTGTACTTAGCTGCTGCATTATTTCTGCTCTGTGAAGGGCACAACTCCAAAAAGCCTCAAACACATGAGTCAGAGCGAGCAGCACCTCGCAGGACCAGGACCTGCAAGAAGTCCTGAGCTTATTCCAGAAAGAGGGAACAAATTCCAGGAGCAACACGTTTGTTTTGGAAGTACTGGCTCTGTGAACCATGAGACTAAGCCACAATCCAACATGTGTCCTAAGAAACAAACAGGCTTTTGGAAAAGCTTCCAAACTCTCCCATGCATCTGCAGGAATAAGCTGTGGGCTTCACTACTCACACCCACAACCATGGAGCTTGTAGGTACAGTTTAATTTCAGAAGACAAGTTCCACCTAGGCAGCATAAATTTCAGGACCTTTGCCTTAAAATTTTAATCAGCCACTTAATCAGACTGTAGACACTCAACTGTGCTTGTCCCAGCCAAGCTCCAACAGCTTCAATCAGTAGGAAAAAAGAATTTTAAAATAAAAATATAGGGTATCAATAAAAAGGTATAAAGGGTATAAATAAGGGTTATAAAGGGTATAAATAAAAGGTATAAAGGATATAAAGTATAAATAAAGGGTATAAAAGGCAACTTGATTAGTCTCATGAAAAACTAGAGAATCCAACAGCTCCCATACAATTCAGGTGAATTATGAGCAAAGATATAGGAGGCATAAAGATATACAGGCAAAAAGACACTGGAGGATAAAATAATTAGCATGAGCCAAGTACACTTCTAATTAATACTGTGTTCAGGAAAAACAAGGTGTTAGCTGGTTGCTAGAAGTGCTGAGGGACAAAGCAAATTTCAGCAAAACAAGTACCTGAAGGGAGGGTTATTTTACATGTTGACAGGAAAAACAAGGGTATGGTTCCTGTTGCTTGAGGGAAAGCATCAGTGTATTGTCTAGAGAAATTACCCAAAGTGGCTTTTCCACCACAGCAACCAGCTGCCATAAACCAACCCATTTGTAAACCACACAATTACTTAATGCTGCACAGAAGGATCTCAAACAGCACCAAAACTGCTGTCAGCAGGAGCCGAGTGCCTGGATATTCGGAGACACAGCTACCCACCTCCAAAATACCTTGAAAGCAGCAATGAAATGAACTCAGGCACACTGAGCTGAACACTGCGACCCTGTCTGCAACAACAGAAACCTCTAAGCAGCAATCTAGGAATGTTTTGATCTTCCTGGCACACTTGAAAACACCCCCCCAGCCACGGGTAAAACCCAATTCCTCTGCAAACAGCACCCGTGTGTGCTCAGACACTGAACAGCCTTGACTGACTTCAGCAGGGTTAAACACTATTTCAGCCCGTGCTGACTCTGTCCCACCATGGACAAAGGTTGCTGATGTGAAAGCAGAAAAGTTCAAACAATCATCCTCTCACTATCTAGTGTGCTCAAGGCTCTCCAAAAACCTCTCATCCAACGTTATTGCGCCAGGAGCAGGGGGTGAGGTTCCTAGAGAGCACAAGTGAGCAAACAACGTGGCTACAACGTTCAAAGCCACCACCGATGACCTTGTTTCTACCCCAGGAGTTGGCTCAGGAGAGGTTCAATTCTCCTGAGCAGCAGCTTTTCACCCCTGTGGGCCAGAGGGGGCTGCAATAGGAGACTAACAAACCCATCATCGGGAGAATTCAATTTTCTGTAAGGGGTTGAAAGTGCCACGGAAAAATCCTGAAGAGATCCTCGTATCAAAAAGCAGCACCAGACAGGCCCCTGTTGTACAGGCAGCCTTAAAAAAAAACCAGCACAAGCAGATCCTCTAAAGCAAGAGCTAAATGCTGTCATGCTGTACCCCCACGCAATCTTCTGTTGGCCATTCCAAGGGTCAGAGGCCCCCTCTAGCACTGCAGAAGACCTCAGCCTCCCCCCCACCTCTTCCTGCTGCAGTCCTTCTTCCCATGCTGAACAATCAAGGATTTTCTTTCCAGCACCAGGTTTCTTTGCCAGCCTGTGGAGGACACAAGGCTGGAGCTCAAACAGTGCTGCTGGGAGAGTTTCCTGGCCCCTTCCAGCATGGCTTGGGGATCCCAGTGAAGAGGCAGCCGAAAATCTACAGTGATTTGGAGCGAGGACAAGGCTGCCTAGACCTTGGCAGGCAGCAGCAGATGGGAGCAACACGGCTCTGGTTCCACTCTGGTGCACTGTGATTACTGGCCATGGCTACAGCTCACACAGCTCTAAAAGGTGTGGGCTCCTGGGCTACCAGAGACTGCCCCTCCCCAGGGCAGCGAGTCAAACATGAGGTCTGGAGACGTTCCTCCATGTCGATGTCCCACACTGGCAGCCACACAGCTCCGGGTAAGCACTTGTTGCTGTCTGCTGGGATTTAAAACTCCTCCCCACACCGTGGGGAACAGACACCCACACAGCTACTTAAGAAACATGTCTGTGAAATAAAAGCAATGGACGCCAAAGAAAAGAATCAGCCTGGAACAGTCACAGCCCCCTTTCCACCTTTCCTTTGCCAACCAAAAACGCCGGGCAAAGCTCCTGCTGCCCTCACCAACATCCCTCCGTGTTCCCACCGTGGGCCTGTATTCCCCTGGTGTCCCTGCAGAGGGTTTACACCCACACCAACACCTACAACGAAGTGTCAGTGCTCAGCAGAGAGCTGCCTGCCCTGGCACACCCAGAGATCTTTACCGACCCCTGATACTGCTCTGACCAAGCTGAGGCGATGCAGGAGATGCAGGGGCTGGGAGGGAGATTGATATAACATCAGCTATAGATAAAGTTTAAGGTAAAGTCTGGGCTCAGGTTTGTGTCATGAGCTGTGTCGGGCCTCAGCACTGCTCTGAGGGAACCATGACATGCCATGAGCTGTGTTGGGCCTCAGCAGTGCTCTGAGGGAACCATGACATGCCATGAGCTGTGTCGGGCCTCAGCAGTCTCTGAGGGAACCGTGACATGCCATGAGCTCCTCTCAGGAGCTCCCCCTGTGCAGCAAAGGCCACGAGATCCCCCCATTGATCTCCAAAAGTAGCCAGCGATTTGGGTCAAGACCCGGCAGGGACCCGGACAAAAGTAAACCCCTGCCTGGAGGAGGGAAAGGCGTGACGGTTTGTGCGATGAGCTGCGCCGGGCCTCA